ATGGGGGACATGGGGGGGAGATTGGGGAGGGGGACACTGGGGACATGGGCACAACTCAAAGCCACTGCCAGTCCAGGTGGGGAGGGGGACATTGGGTGTCCTTGGGGACATTGGGATGACCTAGAGAACTTCCCGTGGTGTTCTAGTCCTCAAGATGTCATCATGATGGGATGGTGACGGTCCTCATCCCTCAGCCCTCCGGTCCCCGTGTCCCCAGGGCGGTGACGGGTGACGGGGTGAACGACTCGCCGGCGCTGAAGAAAGCCGACATCGGGGTGGCCATGGGCATCGCCGGCTCCGATGCCGCCAAGAACGCGGCCGACATGATCCTCCTCGATGACAACTTCGCCTCCATCGTCACCGGCGTTGAGCAAGGTGGGGGCTGGGGACACCAGGGGTGGGTGACATGAGATGACACCACCTTGGTGACGCTGTCCCCACCCTTCCCAGGCCGTTTGATCTTTGACAACCTGAAGAAATCCATCGCCTACACCTTGACCAAGAACATCCCTGAGTTGACGCCCTACCTCATTTACATCACGGCCAGCGTCCCCCTGCCCTTGGGCTGCATCACCATCCTCTTCATCGAGCTCTGCACTGACATTGTGAGTGTCACCTGGATCCCCACCCCACCCCCCACCGCCACTGGAGAGGACACTGGGGTCCGTCAACCAGCCCATCAACTGGTCATTGAGGTTCCTCACCCAGGAACCAGGGTTCTTCAGATGGACGTTAAGGTTCTTCACCCAAGCATCTGGGTGCCTCATCCAGATGCCAGGGTCCCTCCCAGATTCTGGGGTCCCTTCCAGATGCCGGGGTCCCTCCTGGATGCTGGGGTCCCCAACCCAGATGGGTTCCCCCATGCCCAGACACCTGGGTCCGTCAACTGGTTGTTGAGGGTCCTCATCCAGGAACCAGAGTTCTTCATATGGATGTTGAGGTTCTTCATATGGATATTGGGGTTCTTCATCTGAGCATCTGGGACCCCCACCCAGATGCCTGGGTCCCCCACCCAGACGCCTTGAGTCCCTCACCCTGACACCTTAGTCCTTCACCCAGACACTTGGGTTCTTCACCCCAAGGGTTAGGTCCCCCACGCAGATACCAGGGTCCCCCAAACAGATGTTGGGGTCTCTCCTGGACACCTGGGTCCCTCACCCGGACACCTGGGTCCACAGTTCCCCTCGGTCTCCTTGGCCTATGAGAGGGCGGAGAGTGACATCATGCACCTGAAGCCCCGCAACCCTCGACGCGACCGGTTGGTCAACGAACCCTTGGCGGCTTATTCCTACTTCCAGATTGGTACGTGGTCCCCGAGGGTGGGGAGTCCTTGGATGTCAGGGTCCAACTTGGGTGGCTGGTCTAAATTTTAGGGCGTCCCAGGTCCGTGGGTGCCTCGGACACCTGCGATCTTGGACACTGGGGTGCCCGAGTCTCCAGACACCCGGGTCCCTTGGTCCGTGTGTCCCTTGGTCTCCAGAAACCCAGGTTCCTTGGTCCACGTGTCCCTTGGTCCACGTGTCCCTTGGTCCATGTGTCCCTTGGTCCATGTGTCCCTTGGTCCACAGAAATCTGACTCCCTTGGTCCATGTGTCTTTGGGTCCCCAGACACCCGGGTCCTTGGCCATCTGGGTGCCTGGACACCCAAGTCCCTGGACCTCACAGTCCATGAGTCTCTAGATGCCCATTTCCATGGGTGCCCAGGTCCATGGGTGCCTGAGTCTCTAGGTGCCCAGGTCCATGGGTGCCCATGTCCATGGATGCCTGGATCCATGGGTGCCCGGGTCCATGGGTGCCTAGGTCCATGGGTGCCTGAGTCTCTAGGTGCCCAGGTCCATGGGTGCCCATGTCCATGGATGCCTGGATCCATGGATGCCCAGGTCCATGGGTTCCCGGGTCCATGGATGTCCATGTCCATGGGTGCCCGGGTCCATGGGTGCCCAAGTCCATGGATGTCCATGTCCATGGGTGCCCAGGTCCATGGGTGCCCAAGTCCATGGATGTCCATGTCCATGGGTGCCCAGGTCCATGGGTGCCCATGTGCATGGGGGTGCCCATGTCCATGGATGCCTGGATCCATGGATGCCCAGGTCCATGGGTTCCCGGGTCCATGGATGTCCATGTCCATGGGTGCCCGGGTCCATGGGTGCCCAAGTCCATGGATGTCCATGTCCATGGGTGCCCCGGTCC